TTCAGAGATAACCATTCAGTCTTGTAATTCAGAAATATAGCAGGATAATCTATATGAGCACATTAGAAAATATTGCATGAAAATATAGGTTTCCTGTGGTCTTTTTAATAAACATTCATAAACTGATGGAGAAATAGGACTGAAATGTTTTAGAAAATAGCCATATTTTTTTCTAGTGTGCTTAAGCTTACAATAAGTCATAATCATATATCATACAGGTCTAATAGTATAGGTCTAATTCATCTAAGAGTTTTTAACTCTCCCTTCCCCAATTGCAGACTGTAATATGGAATGTGAGGGCCAGGCAACCTGTCTCGCTAACTCTCAGTGGGATGATGATCATCTTCTTTTAGATTTCCAAAGAGAAATTAATAAATGCATTTCACACATGTGCATTTCATACATGAAGAGATAAAGCGCCATGCTACCTGTGTTTTGTTTGCTTTCCAAACTGCTAGAATATGGGAAATTTGATTTTGGGGGGATGTCTCTGGGCTCTTTGAGCAGATGCAGTTCAAATTATTGAGCAGATGCAGACAAATTATTCAGATCAGGAATGTCCAACCTGAACAACTTTAAGACTTGTGGATTTCAACTTCCAGAATTCTCTAGCCAGCCATGGATGACTGGGGAATTCTGGGAGTTGAAATCCACAAGCCTTAAGATTGCCAAGGTTGGACACTCCTGATCTAGAGAATCTGATGGAATAATGATGGAAACATTTGAAAAGGTAGAGGATACAAACAATTTAAAAATTAGCTGGACCTCTCATCCCTTAGCAGGGAAAATGGAGTATGCAGTAAAAGAGAGAATGAGCATTTTTAAAAGACTAGAAGAACAGCTCAACTATTGCAACAGTTAGTTTATATTAAAATTGTAAGTTAGCATAAGGAGATGCAAATTCTGAAAAAGTACTTAGTTAAAATTTCTCCTTTTTCTCCATTAAAAAGACCTATTGACCTTCTTTTCTTAATTTACATTCATCCAGCTTACATACTCAGGACATATTTTTGACCTCAAAGAGACCAAAGACAAACAACCATTAAGCTTTAGGTTCATTTGGGGTTTAACTGGATGTCTTCAAAGGATAATTTTCACATTTATAAGCAGACAACGGCTGCCACCTGTCTTCCAATTGTGCCCTTATTGTCCTCTTAACAGACATTTTCTGAATAGATAAACGTACTTTTGGAAAATTAAAAAAAAAAACAGGTAAAACTTGCAGGCCCTTCTTGGTTTAGGGAGTCCTAATTATTTGCATAGGTTAACACTATTTTAGGGCAGAACAGACTAAGGAAAAAGAAGAAATAAATGGATGAAGGAATGTAATAATCCAGAAATTGCAAAAGTACAATTATATTGATGCCCTTCTAGATTTCACCTATTGCCACTTGGCCATAGCATAGATAGAATTGCAGTTGTAGGGTTCGGGTTGATCACCAATGACATAATTTGGATCCAAATACCCCATTCTGCTCCCCATGATGCATTGCTGGAATATAAACATGGACATCTACATAGAGGGGGAAATGATGACATGATGTAAATAATGCCCTTGTGTCAGATGTCATGATACAACTACAATGTTTTATTCTTTGCAGAATGAACTGGTGCATGTGTCATCCTTTATATACAATCACAGCTTCTGATGGATGTCCTATCTGGATACAGACCTGTGGGGACCTTGGTGCTCTCTGAGCGTGGTTGTTTCCTTGCTGAAGGCACAGAAGATGTTACCTAGTTTGGGTAATGAAACATCTGCAAGAAATCAACCAGGTTCAGAGAGCATCAAGCACAAACCTGTTAATGTAGTTATGTCCTACCTATTAAGTTGGACTAGAACCACTCACAAGAAAGTCCAAGAACTTAGGATAAGAAATAGTTATTGAAGTTGATTATAATAAGTTCAGCAACTGCTTTGATTCTAGGACTAGCTCTATTTCTAAAAGCATTCAGACTCTTGCATTTGTTATCCTTCTTACCCTATGTAATGTACAATCTGGCCTCCTCTTTTGAGCAGGTTGGGCACATTCATCTGTCCTTTGTTTTCATAAAGGTCATATTTGTTCTTATCTTGTTTAATACTGACTCTGAGAACTAACTCTCATACTAGAACCATAAAGATTGCTGAAGGATGACCAGAGACTGGGAACCAAGAGGTGTTGATGAAAAATTGCAGATGAAATCCCACACAGTTTGGATGCATCAATTCCATTAAAATCAATAGAACTTAAGCAGCCTATCTGTATGCAGAGTTGAAGCCAGTAGATGCATTAGAGATATGAGGGGAACGAAATTTAGGCCCCTTGTGAAGCGATCTTAAGTGTGCATCAGTATGCAGTTGATATGAAAAATGACATTTTAGAATAGACTGTAAATTATAATCGACAAGGGATGCTAATTTTAAAATCCGCTGTTATAGAAAAACAAAAGCAATTTTATGAACACCAATGCAGATCATGATTTTGCCTATTTCGCATTAATTAGGATTAATTATTTTTTCTAGTCAACTAATAAGGCTACAAGAGATCATAATTTTTCTTGAAATTATTTTTCTGTGCTTTTGAAACATAATTTTGAGAAATGTGTTTGTTCTGGAACAAGAATGTATCTACACGAGGAGACAATAGTATTAGTGCTCATAATAATATGACAACCATTATTCATTAAGGTGCTGCAACAGTTGTAATATTACATTTCACATTTTTTTTTTAAAAACTAATCCAGATAGGCTAGATAGATAAAACAATTGTTCTTTAAACTGGAGAATCTTTTGGTATATATTCCAGAAATATGTCTTGCAATTGTAGCAATTCTACAGTGTTGCTGCAAATGCCAATTAATTTCAATGTATTTCACAACTGTTTATTAAACTGTTTAACTTTCTCTGGTTATAATCCTAAACTCATTTCCTTGGGAGCAAGACCCACTGAACTCAACCTGATGACTCAGAAATCTACTGAGGGACATTTAGGAAGAAATTAAACCTATATCACATATCATTTGTCACATATATGAGCTCCAGAGCATGTTTAATATCCCAAAGGAGCTTTTTTTAAACTGATAACTCTTTGCAAAAACAAGAACAACAACAAAGCAATCCTGTCACCACCAGAATTTGTGGCAACAGAAATAATAATAATAATAATATTGATAATAATAACTTTAACCACAGCTTACATCCTGTAACGATACCTTTAAGACCAACAAACATCCTAGGTCCTTGGGAAAGACTTGATAGGTGGATAAAATGTTAAATACAGTCTGAACATCTGGCTGACTGGGCCATAAACCACACTGACAAAATTGCCATCAACCAAATGCAAAAGGCAGCTTTACTTGGAACAGCTTACATCTTGCAATGAGATCTTTAACACCATCAGACAACAACGTGTGCCTATCCCAGCTCCTAGGGAAGGACCCACTAGATGGACAAACATGCCAAATCCAGTATAAACATCTGATTGACAATGGGATTTACCATAATAATTAAAAGGATTTGTGTAGTTCCCCCTTCTTCAGAAATGTGATTCCTGATGGTATATGACCAACCCCCTCCAATATAATAAACTCATTAAAACAATCACAACAACCCCCCCCCCACACACACACACAACCAGTCTGCCCTTCATATATTAATTCTGTCAGGATGAGGCCATCGCCTTCTTGGCCCCAATGCTTAAGAGAACATCCAGGTCCTCAAAGCCTTCCCAAAGGCTAATGGGGTCAGGCTAGCCACATTGCAGGGGTGAGATTATTCCACAGGGCAGGCAACATAACAGAGAAGGCATAATAAATCAAAGTCTTCCTGACTTTGTAAAGGACATGCTGCTTTTGTTGTTTTTTACAAGTTTAGATTACAAGGCCAGATGTTGGTCTTGATAGGTGTCTGGCATCAGTTTACATTAATATTCCCAAGGATGGTAGAATGTCTTCCTCCTAAGATGCCTGGATGATGGAGGATGATCCTGACACCTCACAGTGGCAAATTAGTGCTGAATACTGAACTCCCCTGTTGACTACTAGTGGAAGAATTCTGTATCAATCAACTGCCACAAATGTGGGAATACCATGTTCTCCAAAGTTCAGTCTCAAAATAAACTTCTCCGGGGGGGGGGGGGGGNCCATGTTCTCCAAAGTTCAGTCTCAAAATAAACTTCTCCGGGGGGGGGGGGGGACAGGATCCAAGCAGATAAAATCAAACTACTCTGAAAGCAGATTCCATTTTTTTTAATTATTATTAGTTTTCCCTCTTGTAATGCTTTTCCTGGAGATTCTTATTCAGTGCCCATTTCATATTGGTGGATATGTTTTCTTGACTTCACTGGAAGGGTAAATATTTCTGTAGGCAAATAAGGGCAAAGACATATATAATTTGGAAAACTTAATCTACCACTTCATCCCCTCATTTTACAACAGTTTAGGTCTATGTTTTCCATGAAGCACAGATTATGAATGTGATTTTTTTTCCTTAGAATGATTTGAGTAGATATTATTATAATATATTAGGAATAAATCTAATTGAAATCCATTGAACTAAAATCTAGGGTGGAACTGCATACAGATAATCCAAACCCTCAAAAGTGCTTGGTTTTGGATTAACAGGACAAATAAAAGAAAAGGTGGGAGAGGTGGATTGGATAAACCATCTACTGTGTTATTTGCAGGTTGCATTTCCACTTTAAATTTCTCTAAGGAGGCTGCGGTCTAAATTGACCTTTTTTAAATGTGACCTGCTTCTGTTTCAGTTGATGGCCACGGTTGCTTCTGAGTAGGCCTGAAGGGTAAAGGTGTACACAACTGTTGCTCTTTCTTGTTTGGGATGCCTGTTTTGGCTCTATTATAACTTTGGGCATATCAAAACTAGAATGTGGGCATCACATTCCTTTTTGTACTGCAAATAGATTTCTATTCCTACAGTAAACATAGATTCTATTGCAATGTCTTGCTTGAGGTGCTTTTGTGAAAAAATAAGTGGCACGGAAGTGAGGTGCTCAAAATATTTAGCGTGCCCTGCAATTACTCTATCTCTGTTTCTGATTCTGAAATGGAGAAAGGTTTGGAGAGTTCCCCCCCCCCGACCCCCAGGTTATTTCTTATTAGCACTTATAGGATGTCACCGACAATCGTAGTGCTCCATAGTTCAGAAACTGTAGACAAACAGCAGCAAATCCACAGGGATATTTTCCTACTTAAACTGAAGTATTTGTGAATTATTTTGGAGGCCTGATGTGTTGGGATCCCCTTGGAGGACCATAATCCAAGATGGTTTGGAAACCTCTGCTCATTCTTCAATGAAATGGGCAAAATTAGCAGGAGAGAGAGAGAGAGAGAGACCACTGTAGGATACAGTTGTGTATTTTCTCCCCTGTAGCCTACATTTTATTTGTGCATTAGTGAGCATGTTATCCAATGAAATAGGACAATTTGAGCATAAACACAGGATGCTTCTGAAGAGGTGTCATATCTGTGTCAAATCACAAATGTAGATGTTTTCAGGCAGGTGTTTTGGATTTCATGAAAGGAAAAGACTATATTGCCTGTTTCTTGTTTCATTAATCGTCTTGCTTCTTTTTGATTATCCATTCATTAATCATTTCCATTCTTTCACTTTGCTTGTGTTTACAGACCACATATGTGAGATAGGAGAGTTTCTTTGTCATGATCGTGTGACCTGCGTGTCTCAGAATTGGCTTTGTGATGGAGACTCGGACTGCCCCGATGAATCAGATGAGACTTCGTGTAAGTAAAAAGTTATCCTGGTTTCCTTTGAACTGTTCCCACTGTAATAGATGGGCTTACTTTTCTTTTAATGTCCTAAGCAGAATCTTAACGAGGTCTGATTAAAACCCTTGAAGAAATGCACTTTCAGAATGAAGAGATGCTTTTCTAAAAAATGAAAAAAAAATATACCTCACATTAGAATGAACAATACCAGCCAAGCATGTGTTCCGTATTTCTTTTCTGACCTAGAAGAGGCAGCAAAGCAAAAGCAAAGGAAAGGAAGGAACGAAATAATAATAGCATACCAGATGTCATTTGCAATAAAAGTAAAGAGAGCACAGAGACCTCGAACAAAAATGGAACAGGAGAAAATGAGAGGAAAAGAAAGTAATAGGTGAAAGAAGCAATGTTTGAAAAATGTCAGGAAAAGCTTTAATAAAACATAAATAATAATAATAATAATAATAATAATAATAATAATAATAATAATAATAATAATAATAATAATAATAATAATAATAATAATAATAATTAATAATAATCTTGTTTTTTTTCTGTGGCCGAGAGCTATTATAAGAGAGAACAGAAGAGAACCTTATAGGCTTCTTCCCAACACCGTGGTCTTCTGATTAGATTATATTAAATCTTCATATTTCCTAGTTTCCTCGGCAAAGTACAAAATGAAGAGTTCTGTTTCATGTCCCCAGGACAATCATTTTGTGTAATAGGAACTAGTAATGAAACTGAGAAAGTTTTCAGGTGAAATGCAAGGCAAGAGAAGAAAGACAGTGCCGAAGACTGGAAAACACAGAGCACATGAAGGCGAGATAAAAAAAAACACTTAGACAATGAAGTAAAAATGAATGATGCTGTTTAAGTGACTGTATTTTATCGTGTGATTCCGTCTCCACAAACATAGTTTGGTATTGACTGCTTAAAAACCTTAGTTTATTTGTATACAAGGTACGTCATGTACTGAGGGGCAGCAATTAAAAGACTGATGAATGCCAATTAATTAGCAATTATAGAATAATGGTAATTGCATGTTGTTTTGTAGCAGTTTTAACGTATTTGTTTAATAGGAACTAGATCTTGTCTTCTCTAGGTATCCTGTCATACTTCCAATTTAGCTTGGACTATTTCAGTTAATTGTACATACCTACTTGAAATTATTTGGCACTAAATTCAGGATAGACAACTAGTTTTCCTTTAAGTGCGGATAACTAAGAAAAAAACTGTTGGTAAGTTTTGTAAGCCTCAGGAGTTTGAAAAGGAAATCTCATGCCTCCCTCAACTGGTCTCTTGCCATTGCTAAAGACACCTCAGGATTGAAGCACATATCCTTTCCCTTGCTATTTTTCACAGAAGTGGAACCTGTTATAGCAACACATTAAGTTGCAAAAAAGGCAGCTATTTTTCCCTCTATTTCTGTCTCTTTCTCTGCACTCTTCATCATTATCCTACATGGTGATACCAATAAATGCAGTGGTATATAAGAGGCCATTTCATTCAAGGGCTTCTACAGTACTAATGTGATTGCAAAAAAGAAGAGCTTTTATACAGAACGTTCGTAGCCATAGGAAATTCCACCCTTGTCTTTCATCTTACTTCACTTTTATCCCAGTCATAGCACGAAGGGTGAAGTCCTTTTAGAGATGTTCATGAAATTTACAAATAATTAAATCGCTTGCTTTGTCAGTTCTGAAGATCTTAATGCAGTCTTCATGGGACATCTATCTCAGATTACATCTAACAGCAAAATTAAAAATCCCCTATGTCCATATCCCTTCCCTCATATAGATATGCAGGGTAATAGTAATTGGAGTGCTTATTTGCCTTGAATATGTTTTCTGTAATTATACGAACAAAAGACAGTCTGTTGTGACCGAATCGATCTGGAGCAAGACTAACCCTGCCACAGATGACAGGAGAATCACTGTACTCTGTAGATTGTGATCTTACTAATCAACAGGAAGAAGGCTAAAGAAGAACAAGGAGGTTAACATTTCTGAATAGAGGCAGGCAACCTGAGTTCAGGGATCCAGGTGACCCTTAATTTCATGTGGCCTTCAACCCATGAACTTGAAAAAGCCGAGTGATCAATTTTGATCTCCGGCAATCAATATCTACTGCTTGCAAGACAAAGAAGGGATTTCATAAAGAAAGGAAAATGTGAAAAAGAAGTAGTTTTAGGGGGGGAAAGTGTATGTGAGAGACAGCAGGTGTCCCAGCCCCACTGGGCTCTGCCGCTCCTTGTTTTAGACTTCACAAACACGTGACCTTTGAGGTTAATGTGCTGCTTGTTGTAGAGATACATAGGCAATTTCCAACATCCTTCCCATTTCCTGGTTCCTGGTCTTTATTCTCCCAAAAAAAATCCATTACTTATGTTTTTATTGTCAAGGGCCAACATTTTCCCTTAATTCTTTGTCCGTTTGATTTGTTTCCCCCTTAATCCTCTTTTTGACTTCTGTTTCTCTCAGAATTCCTATTTCTCTTGTAGCTGCAATTTTTTCTTCCCATATTTGTTATCCGCTATAATCCTTCACACTTATTATTCACCCCTCTTTGAAACATATATCAGCACATCAGTCATCAGCTTTTTTCTATTCTGCTAAGAATACATCGTCCTTTTAGGTTTGCCTTATGATGCTTTCACCTTTCCTTTTACATTCCGTCTTTCATCTTTCAGTATTTTTTTCCTCTCCTTTGCCTTGCCTCCTTTCACAGCTCTTAACAAATCTTCCCAATCAGCCTTCTCATGTCAGTTTCTAACCCTTCAACCTACAAGTGCTTTGCTTCTAGTCTCCTTGTTTCTAAGCTTGAGGCTTTCCATAATCACATCCATCTTTCACTGCTGCCATATAGGCTATACCGTTGACACATCCACCCAAGCTTTTGAATATTCCATGTCATCACCACCCAGGAGGTAAAACAATAAAGGCAATGTTTACAGATGGCAGGCAAAAACAAGCAAAATTTATATGGTACACACTCACAGTGACATACACAGACATACACACAGAGACACTCATATACATTGTGCTACATGGTGATTTAGAATTCATGATAACTCTTAGCTGAGAGTTTGAGCTAGCGTCTCCAATGTTCAGAACAAATATGCAATCTGTCACATTGCCCTTTATTGGCAGAGGAGAAACCTATCAGTTGCTGCTCCTCTACAGACTTTGGGAACTTACAAGCCATTGAATTTAAATGCAGCACTAAGTGGATCCATCCAAATTACTTCTACCCAGTTGAGCTACTTAAGCAATTATTAATATTATTTATTTCACGTTGTTACTGTTGAGTAGGAGCTGGACAAGAGATGGTCTCATATTTCAGAATGAACTGAGAAAGTTCTGCCTTGACGGGATCAATACTATGGGATCCAATCTGGGCTGGTCATCGGGACCGGAGGTTTAGTCTTCCAAGCTTTCAGACTTGTGCTGGAGCCCATCCTCAGTGAACTTCTTTCTAGCAGAATGTGTGCTTTGGGCTATTCTGTGTGTGGTATTGTATGGTGTCTGTCATGGGTAGCTTTTTAGATGTTGATTGGGGTGTTAATGGCTGGCTATTAAGGCATTAGCTATTGTTTCCTTGTGCTGCCAAGCCCTCACCTCCTAAGTACTTGATAAGCTGGTGGTAAATCAACACTCCTGACTGACAAGGGGTCTGTTTCCTAGGCTTCAATAACTTCCCTGGCTGTTCTTGTGCCTGATCGTCCAACAATCTTAGTAGTTGCAAAATTGAATGTATGTCCTTGTTTATTGCAATGTGAGGCTACCAGTGAGTTCAGGTCTTTTTTTTCTGACCGCTTGCTTATGTTCTTGCAATCTGGTGGACAATTGCTAATTGGTGCTGGAAAAAAGGGAATTGTTTCTTTATTATCCATGAGCATAATAAATGCCCAGCTCATTTGTAAATTTAAAGTTCAGGTAAGTCTTCCCACATTTAGGCTCAACCAGCTTGATTGGGCAGCTGTTATGAACAGAAGGGACATCTGCTATAGTGCACATAGATACTGTGAATCTAAAATGATATTTTACTGTGTCACTGTAGTTTTAACACTTAGCTTTAAACACGCATGATCACAGACCACAGTGCCTGGAAACCATGTGGGTCTTAATGGGGAAGAACTCAACCTTGATAAGATTAAGCAGCTGTGGGTTTTAGGCCATCTGCATTTGATGATTTTCCAACATGATGAGATAACACTTTCCTAGACAGAGTTGGTGCACAATCTGGGGGTCCAGCTGGAATCACAGCTTGAGGAGCAGAGGTTAGCTGTGGCCAGGACAACCTTCACACAGTTCTACCCTAGATGCCAGTGGTCCCCATTCCTAGATTGGGAGGCATTGCTTACAGCCAAACATGCCTTGGATTACTGCAATATGCTTTACACGGCCTTTCATTCCCATGTATTGAAGTACAATTTCGTAGCATCTATTTACATAAATTCTTGCCAGGTAGTAATTGTTTTAGAAAATAAACAAATGTTGGTTCCATATTGAAGAAGAAAACATACCATCTCTCAAATAATGTGATTATCTTTCTGTTTTCTAGTTGGAATATATTAAGGGGAACAGTTATGTAACTGTATCTGTACTGGTTACTGTGAATCTCTTTGCTGTCTTGCCTTTTCATCCGAGGTAACGTTTAGTGGTCAGGCTTACTTTATTAACTCCCTGGCTTGGAATACTGGAGTTTGTTGAATGGCAGATATTTTTGCCTTTGTGAATAGATGCTGTCACTTCTCTCTGGTAAATTGTCAAATGCCTGGTTAGAACTGTTATTTTCTACCTACAAATAGATTGTCAGTCTTATTTTTTTACCCCAGACTGATACTTTTATTAAAGTATTCTATTTGGAATATTGTCTCCCTTGGCTCCAAAAAAACAGTAGCATTAAAAATAAAATACATTCAGCCTTGGAATTCAAAGAGTATCCATGGATATATATATCAGCACCATGTCAAACGTTGTTTTTCATTATATCTGAGGGAAAAAAATATATTC